GCCCAAGAGGCGCCCAAGACGGCCCAATAGGGTCCCAAGACGGGCCCAAGAAACGGCCAAGAGGGGGACGAGGAACCGAGAATTCGAGACTTCCGCCCTAAGAGGCCCCCGGGAAGCCCCAAGAGGCCCCCAAAAGGCCCCAAGAGGCCCCCAAGCGGCGCCAAGACGCCCCCAAGATGCGCCGAAGAAGGGCTCCGGAAACCCCAAGAGGCCCAAAAGAGGCCCGAAGAGGCCCCATAACGGCCCCCAAGAGGCTTCAAATTGCCTTCCAGACGCCCCCGACAGGTCAACCACGAGATCCCAACCAACATCCATAGGGCCTCCTCCTCCTCCCCCTTCACCCTTCCTCCTCCTACTCCCTTCCGCCTCCTCCTCCTCCTCCTCCTCCTCCTCCTCCTCCTCCTCCTCCTGCCCCCCCCTCGTGTTGTCTTTCGTCATCTTCAGGGTCGGCGGCAACGGCCGTAAGGCCTTCGCAATCCATCGGGCCTGAAAATTAAGCCCGACGGATCCGGGGGAATCTCATGCTTTCCTGTACTCAGAATTCGCTCTCGGAGGGTGGGCAGCAGCGAAAACCCATCGGGCCTGGAAATCAAACCCGAAGGATCTTTGGGTTCTCATGCATTCCTGTGCTCGGATTTCACTTTCGGGGAATCGGCGGCAGATCCGTCGGGCCTGAAAATTAAGCCCGACGGATTTGGGGGAATATCATGCTTTCCTGTACTCAGAATTCGCTCTCGGAGGGTGGGCAGCAGCGAAAACCCATCGGGCCTGGAAATCAAGCCCGAAGGATCTTTGGGTTCTCATGCATTCCTGTGCTCGGATTTTACTTTCGGGGAATCGGCGGCAGCGAAAATCCATCGGGCCTGAAAATTAAGCCCGACGGATTTGGGGAATTTCACGCGTTCATATGCTCAGAATTCGCTCTCGGAGGGTGGGAAGCAGCGAAAACCATCGGGCCTTGAAATCAAGCCCGAAGGATCTTTGGGTTCTCATGCATTCCTGTGCTCGGATTTCACTTTCGGGGAATCGGCGGCAGATCCATCGGGCCTGAAAATTAAGCCCGACGGATTTGGGGGCGGGCTCGATTTTCGGGCCCGATGAGTGTTCGCTGCCGCCCACCCTCGGAAGGGTGAGATCCCCCCAAATCCTTCGGGCTCGATTTTCAGGCCCGATTGGTTTTCGCAGCCGCCGACCCTCCGAAAGCGAATTCCGAACGCAAGAAAACAACAAATTCTCCCAGATCAGTCCGGCTCGATTTTCAGGCCCGATGGGTTTTCGCTGCTGCCAACCCTCCGAAACCGAATTCCGTGCACGTGAAAGCTTGAAACTCCCCCAATGCATTCGGGCTCGATTTTCAGGCCTGATGGGTTTTCGCTGCCGCCGACCCTCCGAAAGCGAACTCCGAATGCAAAAAACAAAATATCCCGGCAAAGCAACCTAACAGCGATGTGTAGGAGCATATCTGGAAGCATCCCCCTTAAGATTCAGATGAGAATCCAGTTGTAGAGTTCTGCTGTTCTCGCAGTCGTAGTCGCATTCGCGATGACAGTCGCAGTGGCCTGCATTAGCCTCAGCCTCAGCCTCAGCCTGCCTCAGCATCAGCCTCAGCCTCAGCTTCAGCCTGCCTCAGCCTCAGCCTCAGCCTGCTTCAGCCTCAGCCTCAGTCTGCCTTCAGCCTCGGCCTCAGCCTCAGCCTCAGCCTGCCTCAGCCTCAGCCTGCCTCAGCCTCAGCCTCAGCCTCAGCCTCAGCCTGCCTCAGCCTCAGCATCAGGCTCAGCCTCAGCCTCAGCCTCAGCCTGCCTCAGCCTCAGCCTCAGCCTCAGCCTCAGCCTCAGCCTGCTTCAGCCTCAGTCTGCCTTCAGCCTCGGCCTCAGCCTCGGCCTGCCTCAGCCTCAGCCTGCAGCCTCAGCCTCGCAGCCAGCCTAGGCCTCAGCTGCTCAGCAGCCTCAGCTCAGCCTCAGCCTCAGGCTCAGCATCAGCCTGCCTCAGCCTCAGCCTCAGCCTGCTCAGCCTCAGCCTCAGCCTGCTTCAGCCTCAGCCTCAGTCTGCCTTCAGCCTCGGCCTCAGCCTCAGCCTGCCTCAGCCTGAGCCTGCATCAGCCTCAGCCTCAGCCTCAGCCTGCCTCAGCCTCAGCCTGCCTCAGCCTCAGCCTCAGCCCGCTTCAGCCTCAGCCTCAGTCTGCCTTCAGCCTCGGCCTCAGCCTCAGCCTGCCTCAGCCTCAGCCTGCATCAGCCTCAGCCTCAGCCTCAGCCTGCCTCAGCATCAGCCTGCCTCAGCCTCAGCCTCAGCCTCAGCCTTCTTCAGCCTCAGCCTCAGTCTGCCTTCAGCCTCGGCCTCAGCCTCAGCCTGCCTCAGCCTCAGCCTGCATCAGCCTCAGCCTCAGCCTCAGCCTGCCTCAGCATCAGCCTGCCTCAGCCTCAGCCTCAGCCTGCCTCAGCCTCAGCCTCACCCAGCTTCAGCCTCAGCATCAGTCTGCCTTCAGCCTCGGCCTCAGCCTCCGCCTGCCTCAGCCTCGGCCTGCATCAGCCTCAGCCTCAGCCTCAGCCTGCCTCAGCATCAGCCTGCCTCAGCCGCAGCCTCAGCCTGCCTCAGCCTCAGCCTCAGCCTCAATCTGCCTTCAGCCTCGGCTTCTGTCTCAGCCTGCCTCTGCCTCAGCCTGCATCAGCCTCAGCCTCAGCCTGCCTCAGCCTCAGCCTGCCTCAGCCTCAGCCTCAGCCTCAGCCTGCCTCAGCCTCAGCCTCAGCCTGCTTCAGCCTCAGCCTCAGTCTTCCTTCAGCCTCGGCCTCGGCCTCGGCCTGCCTCAGCCTCAGCCTGCATCAGCCTCAGCCTCAGCCTGCCTCAGCATCAGCCTGCCTCAGCCTCAGCCTCTGCCTGCCTCAGCCTCAGCCTCAGCCTCGGCCTGCTTCAGCCTCAGCCTCAATCTGCCTTCAGCCTCGGCTTCAGTCTCAGCCTGCCTCAGCCTCAGCCTGCATCAGCCTCAGCCTCAGCCTCAGCCTGCCTCAGCCTCAGCCTGCATCAGCCTCAGCCTGCTTCAGCCTCAGCCTCAGCCTGCATCAGCCTCAGCCGGAGTCTGCCTTCAGCTTCGGCCTCAGCCTCAGCCTGCATCAGCCTGCCTCAGCCTCAGCATCAGCCTGCCTCAGCATTCAAAATGTGGCCAGGGAATGGAATTCTGGGAACTCGAAGAACACGAAGTGGCCTACAGTTTGCTCCGGGCATTCAAAATCATACCCAGGAATGGAGTTCTGGGAAGTCCAAGAGAACGAAGTGGCCTACAGTTGGCTCCGGGCATCCAAAATGTGGCCCGGGAATGGAGTTCTGGGAACTCGAAGACCACGAAGTGGCCTACAGTTGGCTCCGGGCATCCAAAATGTGGCCCGGGAATGGAGTTCTGGGAACTCGAAGACCACGAAGTGGCCTACAGTTGGCTCCGGGCATCCAAAATGTACGCCGGGAATGGAGTTCTGGGAACTCGAAGACCACGAAGTGGCCTACATTGGCTCCGGGCATTCAGAATGTGGCCCGGGAATGGAGTTCTGGGAGGTCGAAGAATGGAGTTCTGGGAGGTCGAAGAGCACGAAGTGTGTGACTGTTTGCGAAAAACGAGGTTCCCCGGCAATCCCCAACGGCCCCCCAACGGCCCCCCAACACCTCCCCAACGGCTGCCCAGACCCCCCTGTGGAGTCATCTGCTGCTCTCTTTTGACACCACTAGAAACCTATCAGTCTTCGCTGTTAGGTAACAAAACGGCTGGCGCGACTGCGGCTTGCGACGCAGATGCACACGCACACGCACACGCACACACACACAAACACACGCGCGCGCGCAAACACGCACCGTGTTACTGGTAGCTTGTAAAAGTCCTGGAACGCATCAGGACGGCGTGGCGCGCGCGCACGAGAGAGAGAGAGAGAGAAAGAGAGAGAGAGAGGGGGGGAAGAGGAACACAAATCAAGCAAAACATCTTAACAAATGATCGTGACACCGGCCTTGTGAGACCACGCCCGGCTAAACGCACCCAAGGAAGGAATCAAACAGGGCAAGGCTGTTTAGTAAACGCCCAGGGCCATTTAGTAAACGCCAATTGTCCGGTCCGGGTGGCTTTTCCTCCCTTGACTGTGGGGCGCGCGCCGCGCAGGTAGCCCTTGCCCGAAAACTTGTTGAGAAAAGCCATCTGTTTCACTTGCATTCAGAGCCTCAGCATGAGTTGGTTGAAGGGGCCCTGGGACATACAAATAAATACACACAAATAAAAGGATTCCCCATATTTTCCCATATTTTCTGAGTTTTTGTCTTCCCGCCCAATTCCCATATTTTCCTATATTTTCCTGGGACTCGACGATTAATTGTGTCTGTGTGTTTCTTTCCCTCCTGATTGGTGCATTCCTACTGCAGGCGCCTCCCCTGTGGAGCGCGCGCCGGGCAGGTGACCCACCAGCGGATGGGTCACCAGAAAACTGGTGGAGAAAAACAGACTGTTTCACTTGCATTCAGGGCCTCAGCATGAGGTGATGCATTGCTACTCCATACGCTTCCCATGTGGAGCGCGCGCCGCGCAGGTGACCCACCAGCAGGTGGGTCACCCGAAAACTGGCTGAGAGAAGCACTCTGCTTCACGTGCATTCTGAGCCTGTCACTTTCCTGGGCTTTCGGGCATGCGCCCAGAATGCGCAGGGGATTTTGCGGCAGACTGACGCGCCCCCCGCGAGCGCGCGCGCTGCGCGTGACGAACCGACGGACTGGCGGGCGAAGAAACCCAATGTACCCTGAATGCCCAAGAAATTTCTTGAGTTTCGGGCGCGCGCCCCGAAACGTACCGACGCCCAAGAGAACACAGATGCCGTGACATTTGCAATTTCTTCGAAATAGCGGCGACCTTCCAGGCTGGACACAAGCCGAAGAAACCCAGGGGACACTGACAAAACAGAGGGTGTTTCTTGTCATGCGCCCCCACTGTATCCTCTTCTTGGGGCGGGCGGAATGGGGTTATCCTCTTGAGTAGCAGCTTCCAAGATCACCTTGCGCGACATCCTGGGGGCCCCATCCGAGCACACTCCAGGGCAGTGTACACCGACTTCGGAGCGCGTCCCAACCGCAGTTCGCGGTCTTCCTGCAAGCTTGCTCTGAATGGTAGTCGCCGCACTTCTGTCCACTCAGTTCGGCGGGAGCTGCAAGCCGTGCGCCAAAGGCCAGGGCCGGGAAGGAGACCCACCTAACCACCACTGCGGCCACCAAGCGGTGGCACAGGCCAGTGGTGTTCCAGCGCCACATTGTAAGATCGGCGAACCCTATGACACGCAAGAGGGGAGGTTAGCGAACCACGTCTTGAAATGACTTAGTTGAGCAAAATTCGCTACGCACAGATTATGCTAGCATATCATGTGGAAGATGATTGAAATCCTACGAAGCCGAACGAAACCAACGGGCCTCGCACAGGACTGGCCTGGACTGACTGGGCCGGGACTGGACTGGGCAGAACTGAGCTGGTTTGGTCTAGACTGGTCTGGGCCGGTCTGGGCTTGTCTCGTCTGGACTGGTAGGCTGGTATGGGTATAGGTCCAGCTGGGCTGGAATAGGCCAGACTCAGCTGGACATGATTGGAATGCACTGGGCTGTACGAGACTGGACTGGACGGGGCTGAACTGGATCGGGCTGGGTTTGGATGGGTTTGGTTGGGGGGGTCTGAACTGTCTGGGCTGGGCTTGCCTGGACTGGGCTTGCATGGACTGCACTGGACTGGACTGAACTGGACTTGGACTGGTATGGACTCGAGATGCATAGACTGGACTGGACAGACATGGTTATGGGCTGGACTCGTCTGGACCATCCATATATCCCCAAGGATTCGAACGGGCTCCCGTGGGCTTCCATGTATGCACTCCTACGAGCTGCTATGGGCCTTTATGGATTGCAATGAGTCCCCACGGACTCCTGAAGAATATTACGATTCCTGCGGATCCGTGCGAACCCGCTGGCCCTGCACACTGATGCCACTTGGCACATTGTGGTCCCTGGGGTCACGCGCCACCGCTCCAGGGCTGTGGTGGCTGGGATCTGGGCCATACGAACGAGCACATAGCCGTGCCACTCTCCCCCCATCAAGCTGCCGAACGTGCTGGTCGGGGAGAAATAGCATAAACATAAACTTTTTGGGAAACCTCTCAGAAGGCCGGGGGACCTCCGAGCATTCTGACTAGGCCCGCCCCTTCCCGGACGCCTGGTGTCGGTCATAACTCGGCTCGCCGGTGGTCGTTCGGGAAAGTCCGGGCACCCCGGGAACGCTCTCGGCGAGGCGCAGCTGCTGGAGCGCACACCGAGGCCGAAAGCAACGCCGAGGCACGGGCCACGCCGCCCGAAGCCCTAGAACCTCGAAGCCCGAAACTTCCCCGCCGGGCTCGCCGCCGAGGCAAGGTCCCGCTCGACCTCCGCCTCGCCCCTCGGGTGAGCGCTAGGGGGCGCTTTGGCGGCAGAGGCCGAGGCACTGAGGCCGCTCTCTGCGGCGGCTCCCTCTGCGGCGCCGACGACGGCGACGACGAGGACGACGACGCCGCCGCCGCCGCCGCCCCCGACGACGACGACGACGATCGACGAAGACGACGACGATCGACGACGATCGACGACGACGACGACAACGACCGCGACCCGGAGAGCCATCGTGGCCAAGGAGGCGTGGCGGCCGGCCTGCACCTGGCTGAGCCAGAGGTGAGCGCTGGCAGGAGGGCGGCGGCGTGCGCGCAAGGGGCGCCTCGCATGCCCGCGGAGATCGGCTGCTGCGCGACGACCACGTACTCATCCTGCGGTGAGGGGTACCAGCTCAAGCTTTAGGCTCGAGGAGGCTTAACCAACAAGCTCAGAGCGGCTGTAGGCAACTGCCTGGCGAGCCTTTTCTCCGTGACACGCTGGGCGCAGATCAGTCCCAAGCAGCAGGTGCATAAAAAGAGAGAGCAATTCATCACAAGTCAATTGGCGGACTCCTCCTGCGGTGAGGGGGAGCGGTTGGCGAGGACCGTCGGGGAACAGACAGTCAGGGGAGTGGCCTACCACGTGGGAGGGGCGCGAGGGGCAGACAGACACTTGCCATCGCTCGGACGTCCATTCCCCGTACATTTTTCGGTCTCGTGCGTGATTTCTCGGCCGGATGATACAGGATGCTCATCGATGGTCCTCGCCGAGAAAAAATGCACACGTCCGAGCGACGCCAGGGTCGGGGGAGTGGCCTGCCACGTGGGAGGGACGCGAGGGGCAGACAGACATCACACAGAAGGCTCCCGTGCACCACCACCATGATGGGCAATGGGCCACTCTGGGCCCTGCCATGGTGCATTCACCCTTCATCGGGGGCGCGCAAAAATGGACTTGCGATCCATGGATTTGGCGCGCGGTCGCCAAATCCATGGATCGGGGGAGGTGCCCTCACCACAATGCGGCCAGTAACGCCTCGTTCGGCGGCGGGTATCCGCGATTTCCCATGGAAAGCGGACCCGTCGCTAATCCACGCCCCCTTGATCCATGTTTGCGATCGCCTGACTTCTGGCGGAAGCCCGTCACTCGAGTAGGGGATCGACTACAGAACTGATTTACCCCTGAATTGTTTTCTTTCCGTTCGAGAATGCGAAAAATCGTCCCTTCGGCAGGACAGATGAATTCTGGGGGAATCAATTCTGTAGCCGATCCCCTACTCGACTCTGCCCTGGATGGCTACGCGTGCACGGCGGTCGTGGATCCAGGTTGCCAAACTTCGCGCAGCGCGCCCCGCGATGCGCGACGCGTGTTTATGGTCGCGTCCTCGCGCCGCCCCCATGGAACAAGCAGCCGCTCTGGCCCAGACCGCGACGCGCGACACGCGATTCTCTTCGCGCCCCCGAGGGTGACCCAGGGGACCGGCTCAGGGTGGGAAGCATCGACCTGTCAGCGGCGACACATCACCGATAACTCGGCGGCAGGGCTCCCGATAGCGAAGCCGCACGTTCCGGGGCGGGATGGGCTGTCAGGGCCCTATCTGCAGTGGGCGGGCGATGGGGGGTCCATGCATCCCCTCCTGAGCCTATCCCCCCCTAAAGTTGCCCCTGATACGTGGGGGGGGGCCCAGGCCGTCGACGTCTTCGCGAAAATCAGCACGGCGACTTGTCCATGTTGTCGGCATCCAGGGGCCGTTTCAAGGCGCCAAGGCCGTCCAGGAGGAAACGAGCTGGGCAGAAAAACTGGTCACCAGGAAGGGGTCGAGAGCTCTGGAGCACACGCGCGCGAAAAAAGGCACATCACTCCCGGCACACTCTTGTGAAACCGACTGCGCAGGGAAAACAACGACAACATAAACCTAGTCTTCAAGAGTAACCGCCCCTTGGGAACAATGGCGACATCTCGGTTAAACCGGTAACCCCCCGCTTACGAAATTTGGACAAAGGCCGAAACTCGATTGACTGGCCGCACAGTCGATGTGGACCAAAAACTTAAAACAATGAACAAATCGAATAATTCAAATCGACAAAACGTAAATGAAGAAACGGAATAATTCTGCAATCGTAAACATACCTTTGCGATGCAGGGGCGATTTGTCCAAACACAATCATACACGTGGCCTGGAAACTAAAATGTCGCGTTCTGGTTAAATTCAAAACAATAAAAACGTGGTCTGGAATTTGTTCAAAAACAATGATCAACGCGAGCATGAATGGTTTCAAACACGCTCCTTTTGCGCAACCGCCGTCGTCTTGCAACCGCCGCGCAAAATTTGACAGTGCTGAGCTGCCCTGAAGGGTTGAACGGTGCCCGCCAACAAAAATCGACAACGAAATCTTGGATCCGACGGTCACCCCAGTCCAGCAGCGACTGCCAGGACTGATAAAAACACGACGTCGGAGGTCTGGAGAAAGACCCTGGTTTCTGGGCGTTTCTGTGCCTTTGTGGGCGTTTTGGGGTCTGCACAATTTTGCGGAGGCCTTCAGAGGCCTCCAGGGACCTCCAGAGACCTCTGAGGTGGAAGCCCATGCGGGGAAGCGAAAGCACATACCTTGCCGTCGTCGCAACTACTGCTGCGATCGCGGTCGCCTCAGCTCAAATTTCGTGCAACCGGGCCACTGGTGAGGCGGAGCTCGTCCAACGAAATGAACACGGTGGGCTCCGATACGGACAACTGCCCCAATCCCTCTCGGACACAACAGCGCATCCTCGCAGAGATCAGCTGCTGCAGGTGAGGGGGATGTAAATCCCGACCTCCAGCAGGCGCTGCGGAAAAAAACGGCGCCCCCAAGACAGGATGAGCCAGCATCTAATAGGAGGGCGCCACCAAGGCCCAGGATCATCCTAGGGTCCTAGGCCCATGATCGGTGTATATGCCTTCCTGCCCAAACCAGGAGGGCGACCGATCCAGGGCCCAGGATCAGCCTAGCCAGAATTGCGCAGGTATGGCTGGTGCACTTCGATGAAAATCGGGAAATGGAATCGTGTCGGGATGTGCGTGCGTCGGATTGGGCTGCAGCGGCACGGAAGCGAGGTCGAGTCGGATCGGCTGCACAAAATGCGCAGCAGCGCCATGCAAGCGTCGGGCCGAACCAGATCGTCGGAAGATCTGGAGGGGGAAATAACAGCGCAAGCATAACCTTTTGACGGTCCGCTCGGATTTCTTGGATCGGCGCTGGGTCCCCCTACCTAGCGCGCGGAGCGCGCCAGGGGCGGCGCCGGAGGTGCCGCCCCAGCGCCAACCCGAGAAATCCTCGCGGAGCGTCGAAACTGAGTGTTCATGCAGTCTTCCACCCCTCGAATGTCGGAACCGAACTGGATCGAGCTGGCTGGCATCGGTTTCGAATCGGGACGCTCGGATAGATTGGGGCCATGCCAGGAGCGAGTGCCCAGTCGCGGGGTCCAGGAGCCGCCCCACCACCAGCCCGCGGGCGGCGCGGTGCCCCAAGGCAGGGCTCGAGCTCGGCCGCGGAGACGGAGGGATCGGGCCAACACCGCAGTCGGGCCGCTGAAATAAGTAATGCTGGATAGGGAACGGAGCCCCCTTTGGCACCATCAGAGCCTGGGTGCCACGGGGAGGGCTGGAGGAACAGCCACGGAAGGACCCAAGGAACATCGAGCCTCTCCCGAGCCCAAACTGCTCATCATCTCAGCGTCTTGGCTGCATCGCGGACCCAGGACCCGTGGGCCTGGCGCGTGGTCGCCGGGCCCGTGGATGGGGGAAGGCCCTCTCCGAGACGTGGGGGCCCAGTGGCGCCCGATGCGGCGACGGAGCGCGTCGGTTCTGCCACGGGCCCCCGCGGCGGACCACGCCCGGCTGATGGGGCCCTCGAGCTCGCCGTGAGCACCCGTGGGCGGGCTCGAGCCCAGCCATGGCCACAGAGGGGGCGCAGAGAAGAGCGACGCTGCACGTCTCGGAGGAGTGAGGAAGAGGAGGAGGCTGCTCCCCGCCCCCTCCC